CAGTGTGGAGATCAGTGTGGCGGTCAGTGTGGAGATCAGTGTGGCGGTCAGTGTGGCGATCAGTGTGGCGGTCAGTGTGGCGATCAGTGTGGCGATCCCCTGAAATGTTAAAAGTAGAAATGCCCCTTTCTCAGCTATTCCCCTCCTAGGTGTCTTCCTGAAAGAGTTAAAGACATCACATTACAGCAATACAGGAATACACATGTTTATAGCAGCGCAATTCATAATAATCACCACTTAGAAATGGCCTGCTGCTTATCCACAGGTAAATGGATAAAGAAAATGTCTAACGGAGTACTATTCTTCCCTAAAGCAGGATAAACTTGAGTCATTGATAGAAAAAAGGATGTACCTTGAAACCATAACGTTAAGTGAAATCTATCAGAAACACAAGCTTAAATATTATATGATCTATATTAGAAACCCACAGTTTAAATAAAAAGCAACATGAAAGATAATAGGAAATAGGGAGATCCTTTTCAAATTGGAAGGGGATCAAAAGAAGGAGGGAGAAGGAAGGCAAGGAAAAGTGGGTGAGAAAGGAATTGAGAGGTGTTATTTTCATGTACCAACTCCACACAATGAATTACTCATTATGCAATACAAACATGTACTGACAAAAAGTAAAGACTGGGAAAAAACCCTAAATTGCCCCATGCAGCAGGGGTATAAGTCCAAATTTACAGGACCCTGCATTGTGTGATTTTGTACCGATACAACACAAAACTAGACCTAGTTCGCTCCCCCCCCGCCCCCGTGTCTGTGTGTGTGTGTTTCTCTATTACAGTACTGAGGGTGACATAACTACCCCTTTTAAATCTCTTAGACAAATTCTGGCTAAGTTTCTAACTTGCCCAAGCTAGGCTTAAACTTGCAATCCTTCTGCCTCGGCCCCTGAAAGTTCCGGGATTACAGGCAGTGCCACCACACCTGCCTTTATTTAGATCTTTGTCATGCAATCTGTTATAGTTATCCAGGCTACACTAAGAAAAACAAATTGTCTTTGATTCTTAAACTTGTGGCTTTCACTGATTAGCTTTGCCCATAGCTCCTCTCTTCCTTCCTCTGACCCCTGTAATAAATTTACAGTATCTCAGATTTTTCCCTTATCAAGAAATATAAAAACTGTATCTATACAGAGATATGTTGTAATGAAACTGAATAAGATGAAAGACAGAGAAAATCCTAAATGGTGCTAGAAGAAATTGACAGACGATGTAAAAAGGAATGAAAATCAATGTCCAGAAGCTTTCTCATAACCAACAGAAGACAATAAACAATATAAGTAATATTTCCAAAAGCTAGTGGAAAGTGACTGACACCTAAATGTACCATTTTCAGTTTCATTGATGCTGAAAAGTATGGGAAAATAAGGACCTTCCATGCCAAAAAAACCCCAAACAAACAAACAAAAAAATTTAAAAGTTTTCTACTCATAAAATCTTCCTAAAAGAATTATCAAACATTTTTTAAGGGAAAGAACTGTGTACTAGAAAAGGAATGATGAGAAAAAAATATTTTGGTCACAAGACTATAGAAGCTTTCTTTAAGAAAATGACTGTATGAGATCCAAAAAGTAAAAAGAAAAAAAGGTCCAGTCAGTTGGAAAGTTGGGACAAGAGCATTCTCTGGAAGAAGAAATGGAATTAGCAAAATCTGTGAGGGATGGAAAGCACTGAAGTACTGGTGAAGAAAGCAAATATGATGTTAGAAGAGAGCTGATCAGTTTCAAGAGTAACATTCTCTGTGACTTCGCAGACCATACAGGGAATATTGATTTTGTTTTATATGAAACAAAAAACAAAAGTTCATTCTTAAAGGGAGAAAAATAGGAATAACAGAATTCAAAATGCATTTTTTAAAAATCTAGAAAACAGAAGAAAAAAGTAAAAAGTATTGGTTCACTCCAAGAATTTTAATATTTATTTAATAGGATTTTCAGGAAAAGAATAAATCAACAAAATACAGGTATTCCTCCTTTAATGACTTACCTGATTAATGACTGTTCAGACTCTTGACCCACTGCTCAGGCTTATGATTCGTTCTTTTTTTTTTTTTTTTTTTTACAGTTCTGTACATCTTGTTTATAGGGACTTTAAGTCTTTTTTGGTACAGTATATCTTGTTTATACAGTCCTGCAATTTTTGCTGATTGTACTGTACACTATAGTACTGTAACTTTATGTTCTGTAATACATTACAGTATTGGATGTAAGAGTTATGCAAATAAATTCAAAGTCATCAATTTGAAGTTTCCTTTGACCATTTCTTTGTTCTGAATTTTGTAACATACATAGTATATTAAATTCCTCATTTAGTAACATTCATTTAATGACCTAGTTGTAGGAATAGAACCTGGTGATTAAATAAGGAATGTCTATAATTCAAAAAGTCCCCTAAAATTGAAAAACAAAATGAATTTTTAGGTGGAAAGGCTAACTGAAGGACTATTGCTTAGGTTAAATGTAACCCTACCTAAGATATTTCTTCACAAAATTTTAGGATACTCAAAATACAGAGAAGATCCAAAAAATTCCAGAGAAAAATGATTTCATTTTTAAAAGTCCAGAGACTTTGAATCTTTCAACAGCCACACTGAGAGTTAGAAACCAATCCACACACGGCTCCAAAATTTGAAGGAAAATTACAATTTAATATCCCATATTCAACCAAAACGCCAACTAAGCTTGAGGGTACAATGAGAGCACATTCAGACACAAAAAGCTTCTCAAAATTAATATCTTGTGTGCTTTTTCTTAGAAAGCTGTGAAAGGAGGTGCTCCACCAAATCAAGAGGCCAGTCAAGAAAGAGGAGACATTGAATACAGAGATGAGGGAAGCAAGAGAGGCAAAGCAGGAGAGAGAAAAGGGAAACCTCAAGTACTGGAGAAGAAAGAGCCCCAGTGATGGCTGTGCACCAGGTTTAGGCATGACCTGTCCATGTGGGATCAGCGAGGTGGCTATCAGAGAAACTGTCTTGGCAGACAAAATGAATAAAATATGTGATGTATTTGAATGTTTTGAGAGGCGATTTAGATAAGTAACCAAGAGTCTGAGTTTGAATTAATGATAATTAGAAAACTAAGCAAGCAAACAAACAAAAAGCAATTATTAACTTCCAAGGAAACAAAATATTTTGCAGGAAAGGAAAATAATTGTAGTGTGTTATATGCTTCAGATCCAAGTAGCATTTTCATTGTGAAAATAATGTAGAAGCTCTGTAACCATTGAGTTTGTTGTGTGTGGGGCAATTCAGCTGTGAAAAGGGAAAGGGAAAGGGCCAAGTTAGAGAGCAGAGATTTCCCAAAGTCCAGGGATATATTGGTGGGTGGGGATTCTTGGAGGGAAGGGAACGGACATCCACTCCTTCCAATTGCTGCAGGAACAGGGGGACTGCAGGGACTGCCTACAGTATGTCAGGGCACATTCTATGTTAGGCACAGTACTGCCCATGCTACCATAGGTCCAAAGCAAAAAAGCCAAAAGACCATGGACTGAAAGCTCTAATAGGAAGCAATACACATATGTAACACTCCGGCACACAGCATTCTTTTCATTAAGTGACTTATTCTAAAAATAAGAATGGCTATTTTAAAGAGGTTATTAATAACAAGATTTCAGAAGTATTGGTCCTATCCAAGGAATTAGGCATCCTTATGGGTGCATGAAAAAAGTGTTTTGGAGAGGGAAGTCTAGACAGGATGTACCGAGAGGTGAGGGCCTGAAACACTTGATTTCAGGGCTGGAATTCCATTGATATCACTATAGCTGCACCAATAGTAGTATTATATAATGAAGTATGGTAAAAGTTAATAATAGCCAAAATTGGGTTGTGGCTAACCAGGGTTCCAGTGGATTAACTTTCCTCCTTTAATCCAGTTTCTTTGAGGGAAGTACATGCTTTGATTTTGAACAGATTTTCATGTCCCTTGTACAGCTTTGAAACCCCAAAATCCCTGATGAGTTTTAATCTTATCTTAAATATTTTTCTAATCCAAGGAAAATGTATCTGCACCACAGACAGAAGGTATTCAAGAGGCAATATATGAGGATTCCAAGTTTTGGATGGCCTACAGCTGAACTTTATGTTCCCAAAGTGCATACTGGGAATGCTGTGCCTTTCAGAGGGTTGAGGAGAAGACACCAGACACAGGGAAATGAACCTGTGAAACACAGGAACAATATGTGGTCAGTTTCTTCTACTCCTGGGTCACCCATGTCTTCAAGACTGCTCCAACTCTAAGATGCCACAATACACATTTCTCTTGGGAGGTTTGTTAAGGCCTGACATTTTACAGACTGATAATAATGACTCTCAGATCTATGCCATCCAACATAGTAGACACTAGCCACCTGTGGTTATTTAAATGTAAACTACTTGCAATTAAATACAATCTCAAATTCAGTTCTTTAGTCACACTGGCCACATGTGACTAGAAGTTGCTATACTGGACAATGGAGGTAGAACATTTATTTAAAATCAGGAATTAAAGCAATAGATACATTGCAACTGTCCAAAACAAATTGAAAGTGTCAGATCTGTGGAGAGGTCATCCAGGAAACTTGTAGCTAGGGCCACATATGCTCACTTCCTTCAATCACTGAACATGGCAGCATCCACAGTGACCACATCTAAACACGCACACATATATGTATGCATACAAAACAAGAGCACAGCATGCTTTGTGGAAATCTATACAGTTTTAAAAAGTAATCATGTCACTTTAAGTCTCTCTTTTGGAGGATGTTATTTATTGTAAGACATCATTTTTAATAAATACACTGTAGTACAAGAGACTTTCCATGTCAGGTTGAGAGAAGCTGGTCACATGATTTACAAACAAAACCTTTTTAAACACTGTGTTCAGGTGTCACTTTGAAATCAGCCAAGATGCAGTGGATCTTAGTAAAGCAATTGTCCTCAAAACAGATTGCAAAACAAGAACTATTAAGTGTCAGCACAGAGACAACACATTAAAAGAAAAATAAACCAAATGAAAAGAGAGAGAGTTCCAAATACCAGGTCACCATTGAGGGGAGATGGATCTGCAGAGAGTATTGAAATGAATGTTCTACGGCCTGGATATATACAAACATCTCTCCAGATACAGAAGCAAATGTAGAGCGTCCACACCTCTAGGCAGATTTTCAAATGAGTAATGATCAAGGGGATGCAAGGAGCGATATTTCAACATGATTTTGTCATTTGTCAAGGGATTACATATTTAAAATCCACACTGAATTCAAAGGCCTTGTATTTGAAACATTTCCAGCTGTTTTATACATTTAAAAAGCAATAATAAGATATACAAGCTGCAAGATATAGAGGCCTTTACATATCATTTTCTTCAATTTATCTCCTTGTTAAAACACATGGCTACTAGCAGCTTTTATTTTTCTTGCTCTTGTATGTTGAATGTTCAGCCAACTTTTACTCAAGATCGTTTTTATTAATGCACAGACCAAATAAATAAAATAAACAGACCTGGCCTAGAATGCATAAACTGAACACTGGCATTCTCCTCTTTTCCCATTCCATCACCTGAGACGTGTTAGGATGGCAGAGTAGTTGCTTGGTGGTGGTTGTGAGATTCACAGTGTTTTGCCTGCAACACATATAAGTATATGTATTTTTTTTGCTTTGCTTTGTGTTTGTGATGAATGGTGCAAGTGTGTGAGTAAATAAATACATAGTTAAATAAATAAAAGTCAAAGGGAAAGAAAGAGGAGTGGAAAAAACTAAATATGTTCAAGAACCTTTGACTTGAGCAGCAGTGATTCATTCCAGCCCTGACAACAAGAAAATACCCTTTCCTGTACCCTTTCATTTTAACTATGATCCTCCCACCTCTGATTCTTTAGAATAACATTTGAAATTTATTTAAACTATCACAACCTGAGTCTGTGTATTCCAATTACACATTGTGAAGAATTGGGTGACTGTGAACTTAGACATTCTGGGAGAGCTAGGTTATACCAGCCATTCCTTTCATGAGATTTCACGTAAAAGAGTTATAGGGCTAAACTGAAGGTCAACACTGGAAATAAAGTCCTCAAATAGGGGAGAAAAAGTGTTAGGAGAATCAAGAGAATTAAGGGAATGTGTGTATATGCAGTCATTTTAAAAATTAGATACAATTTAACATTGTTTGTATTATATTCAATTTGCAAAAAGAAAGGTCCAAAAAATGTTCATTGTTGACCAGGGAATCTTGTTGTCTGAGGCTCTGCAAAATACAGTACTTTACACCATTGGTTGGTACATTTGCACTTGGATGTAGACATTCCTAAGACTTGCTTCTATCGCTCATCACTTGAATTTCTTCTTATTTGCCTCCAACATTCCAGTTTGTATCTGGACTACTTCAACTATGGACACAAGTGTAAAGGGTTACAGTGGGACAAGGCGAACATCATACAAATGTGTAAAACGGCCAAAAAAATTAACCTTTCTTTCCTGGACTTCGACATAAGAAGCTCTATTTCAGTCTGCACTTTCCTTTGCAAGGAGCCAAAGAAAGAACCCTAGTGAGATGGCTTTTATTTTGTTGTTTGGGGAAGCACATTATCTTAAATATGTCTTCCATCCATACAGTACGGCACAGAGTTGAAAAGTGTGATGTCCTACCCACATAGAGAATGGAAGCTCTAATTGCAACGGGACATTAATGAGTTTTGGTTCTTTAGCAGACGTAAGCAAATTATTCATACTGCATCTACCTATAATTATCTCTATTACCATGTGCCTATATATTTATACATAAACACACAAACACACTATGTATGTATGTGCATTTGTATATGTATAAATCAAGCATATAACATATATAAATACAGGAAAATACCATAGGTAACGCTGATGTGAACACATGTATAATATGAATTGTTCTGATATAATCCTTGATAGCATAGTTAAAAATATTTTCTAAATAAGCCTGATTATGACACACATTCAGTGTACAAGGATGTAGCTGAAGCTAAGAACATGATTATATATCACAATATCTCAGCTGTTTGTCATCTTATGTATTGCCTTTCATTTTTCTAACTTCATATCCTGCTTCATGAATTAGTTACCATACTTTCTTTCCTGAAATGCTTTTCTATTAGTGTGTCCCAAGTGGACAGAATCATTGACTTATACAGTTGGAGTATGTGGATGAAACCCCATTGATGCTGGAAGTTCAGCTGGAGACTTCTGGCCTGGCTCTTGAGAGTCTCTGAGTCTCAGTTTCCTCATCTATAAAACATAGGAATAATTTGCAAACATATGGGGGAAACAGTTAAAACAACTGATAAACAGAAATGGCTGTCAGACTGGGCTTGAGTAAGAGATTAGTTTTGTCACTGCTATTGTTGCAGTTCTAAAGGGGTTTGATAACAGGCCATATTTGGTGATTACTACATGTAGAATGAAGATGCTGCTTTGCTAAAATTTAGGAAGCCATAGAAAAAGAGGTGGTAGAAGAATAGCAGTGAGTATTTCAAGATATTCTGTAGCTTGTTCAACTCTTAAAAGCAGCCCAATGTTCTTTCAGAGAAAGACATCTCTAAAGTCAGCACATACTCTTGAGACAACATAGGGAGTAAAAATGATAACAGTAATAATAATCAATATAAATAACTATAAAACTTTGCACTTGCATAGTACCTTTCATTTCAAGACCTTGAGGGACTTGTCCGAAGGTGTAAGGAAAATTTTTTATTTTCATTTTTTGCTTTTTTCCTTCTGAGGAAACACACAACTGGAACAGAACATTCCTACCTTCTGATCTCCCTTCAATAAATCTTTGCCCTGAAACTGCACCACCCTCTTTGACCTAGATCCCTCTAAGTATTATCTCTTTTGTTCTCAGTTAAATTAAAAGATAACTTGCAATTTTTTCTCCCAGAGCAGCTGGTCAAACACAAACTTGTGTGTGTTTTCAGGTCATCTCTGATGAAGTCTAGAAGAGTTTGGACAAATCTGCCCCTTACTTGCTGATTCACAGAGCTCCACAGTGTTGTAACAGTACCATGGGTCCTTAATATAATATATACACATGCATGCATATATCATGGAGATATGGCTTTCATTATATTATTATGTGTGTTCTGGAAGGGCTTGTTTTCACTGACAAAGAGAACAAATGCCCCAACTCCCATCTCTTCTGGGTCAGTCCAGAGTCCGAAGGGACTGTATGGTACATCTTATCCAACCCCCTCACTTGACCACAGATGCTGCTGAATTTCGTTTTGTTCTCTGTTAATTTATACTTTTGAGATTTTGATACTCAAAGCCTATAAAGGAAAACAAAGTGCTCCAGTAAATAATGGGCATAAGCAAAACCTAAACAGAGCTCTTGCACCTTCAGAAACACATAGTAAATAAAATGACCGAAGATGAATTAAAATCACTCCTTTCCAATCTGGCTGCACTCTAAAGATGTCAGATTTAGCAAAATTCCCCTCATAGAGGGTAGCACATTTTCTTTAGGAGCAGAAATAGTTTTCCCCTTTGGCATAACTGATTCTCTAAAAAACTGTAAATTTCTATTCAAATTTACACTCTCTTTTCTCAAGACTAATGACTATGCCCAGCAGCACACCTCCAATGCTCAGTCTGGGCATGGCCTCCTACTGGCATCTCATGCCAATTTTTAAGATTGTTTTTCTCTTTTTTAATGGAGTGAAAAAAACAAAACTGCATATTGACAATGGAATACATTTGGAATGAAACTGCTCTCCCAACCAGAGCCTAGAGCAAGAGACTCGGCCTGTGCACACTGAACATGATGCGTGTGATGTGCCTGACAAGGCTTCCTGTCCCTCGGGGATGGATTCCACCTATTCCAGAGTCCTGTGGGATCTACTTGAATGAAGATACCCAGGGTTCAGGGTACATATTCAGTAAGACCCATCACTACCAACTGTACCATGCCAAGACATTTATTCCCAGCTAAATGAATGCCATCAGCATCCCTTAATCATATAAACTGTACCTTTTATGGATCTGCTCTACCTACCAAGGTCATGACGTCTGGAGTGTTAGTTTTTGCACACAAGGTGTTAATCGATGAAGACCATGCACAATTTTACTTGCACAGTTAAAAGGACAGGTGGAAGTGGAGGGTGGGGGTCAGAAGGAGGTACTTGCTGTCTGAAGTTCAATATAAGAGAAACTTGCCTCCAAATTGAGAGCTTGTCCTATTTCTCCAAGTCCTTGTTTCCTACCTGACCCTAAATGATCTCTGGACCAGAATCTACCTCTTTTCAACTGGGCTTGACAAAGGTTTGGTCCCTAACACTTGAGAAAGACCCCAGCGCTGTCATCATAATCGACCAAGACAAGACTGTGTCTGAGCGCGTGACGCACTGTCCTGTGCTCCTAGAAGTTATGTTTTCTCTCTGCTGCACACTAGCTTGTCTGGAGATGGTAAAGGTCCACGGCAGAGTTTGACTGTCTGTGTACTCCTCAGAAGGTCCTCAGGGGAAGGCGCTGAATACATTCCTCCAGCAAACGGTTGCTGAGTTTGTCCTAAGTTGGGACTGATCCTAGCTGATCACAGTAGTTGCCTTTGTTTTTCCCAAACAGCAGTTTATAATAAATCTTCTCTCTCTCTGGTTTAATCTCCCACACATAAAGTTCTCCCAGATTGAACACAAATCTTCCTTTTCACACAAAGGCTTAAGCCATCCAAAAATAATAACAAGAGTAATAATAATAAATAAATCGAAGTGAATCCATAGAAACTCTCGATGTCTGTACAGCAGAAGTGACAAAGTTTAAGTCAAATATTTGTTTCCCTTTTTTCATCCACATCAAAGGCAGGAATACAACAAGGCATTGTTAGTTGTGGTGGGCAAACTGGAGCGTCTGCTGATATAACAAATTAGGTTTGTTAAGGCCTTTGTCTATGCAGAGTTAATAGTAATGCAGAAGCCAGATTGATTAAAAAGAGGGAGGAAGGACTGTGAAGCAGGAAAACAGACAAAAGCAAAAACAAAAAAGAAAAAAATAGAAAAGAAAAAGAAAGGAACAAACCAAGGGAGATGGAAAGAGAGAAAGAGATATGCCAAAAAGAAGTCAATACTGCATCTGTGGATGGAGAAGTCCACATTGCTTCAGTCTGAGAGCATTGCAGGGTCTCGTTAATACTGTCAGAGCTACTTGTTAATACAGTAGCCTCGTGGCATCCAGCGGCAGTAAAAGATGTTCATCCTCTCACCCATCTGAGGAGTGTGTTGGGAAGGATCGGTTTGGGGAGAGGGCCCTAGCCTAGAATGTCCAGGTAGACCGGAGATGCCTTGGCCAAGTTCTGAAGGAGGGTGTGGATGCCCTTGATGTTCTTCCTCATGTGGGGCTCTCGCTGCCAGCACCCCAGCATCAGCTCGTACACTTCCTGGGGGCACGTGCGAGGTCGCTGAAGGACTCGGCCCTGTGTGATGCACTCGATGACCTAGGAGGACAAAAAAGAGTCAGACAGAGACAGGAGGGAGAGCACACAGTGCTGGTGAGGGCCTGGCCAAGAGGACTGAGGGCTAGGGCCTTCTTCCTTCTTTCTTGGCTTTTCCTTTTAAAATCACATGTGTACCTATTTGTAGAGTATGGTATGATAATTTGATACATGTGCACAATGGTAGTGATTAAATCAGAGTAATTAGCATTTCTATTTACCTCAGTATTTATCTAAGTAAAGTGTTGGGAGCTTTTCAACAACTCTTCTACTTGGTCATGAAACTATACTCTTAATATTAGTGGTTCAATATGACTGCACTGTGTGCCTCTATCAGCTCCTTCTCTGGGACAGTGGGTTGGTTGCGTTTTGTAGACTGAGGGTGCCTTGCCCTCCTCTCTTCCAGTTTTCCATGGAGTGTATAACTGTTGTGAACTGTACTCACCCTGTGGTGCTGTACAGAGCACTGGGGCTCTTCATGTGGGACTGTACTCTGATCTCTGTCACCCACTACGATCGTTTCCCTTCTCCAACACTTCCTAACCTCTAGGGAGAGCAGGTTTTTGAAAAAGAAGTCCACTTGCTATTTATTTCTCTCAGAGGAAGAAAATGATTATTGTGGGTTGATGTACAGGATAGTTACTTTGCTTGATTTTTACTCACTTTTCAATCTACTCTGACATCACAAAACTGGTGGAGAAATAATTTCTTTATGCAGAATGTTCCTATGACTCACACAGACAGTCCTATGGATTAGTTTTTCTGCCCTGAGATGGAACCTGAGTCACTTTTGTGTTAAGGTGCTGATCGATGGGGAACCCCCGGATACAGAAATGAGCAGGCATTTCTCATAATGGAATTGGATTAAAAAGACAGACACAGACCTGAAAATGATGTGAGACACTTGTGCCTCAAATATAGACATACAATCAGCCCTGTGGATTCCACATCAGTGGATTCAACCAACTGCAGATCAAAAATACTCAGAAAATACTGCATGCATACTGCACATATACAAACGTTTTCATTGCCATTATTCCCTAATATAGTGCAGCAACTATTTATACTCTGTTTGCTTGTATTAGCTATTATAAGTAATCCAGAGATAATTTAAAGTACACAGGAAGATGTGCATAGATTATATGCAGATACTGTACCATTCCCTGTAAAAGATTTGAACATTTTATATTTTGGCGGTGGGGGGTCCTGAAATCATCCCTCATGGATACCATGGGATGTCTGTATTTGCAAAAGGGTGAGAGTAAAAACACACAATGCTTGATTTTTTTCACTAGTAATGTTCTAGAGAAATGTACAAAAAGGAAAGAACTTCAAAAGTTCACTGGGACAACACCAAATACTTCTCTGGACTCTAAGGGTGCTGGTGTGCTCTGTATGCTTTAAATCTATTAGATGAGCAGCACAAATGCTTCTCAGCTTCATCTTTGAAAAGCAAGACTGCATCCATAAACATTGGGCTTTCTTTCCTCCAAAACTCTTTTAAATTAGGAGTGACTATACTTCAGCTATGAGCTTTCAGTACACAGTAGGCTTTCAGGCACACACAGCACTATTGGAGAAGTAAGTAATCTGATCCCAACAAACCCACACAAGATTGTGCCCTGACTTCCAGCCCAAGCAAAGGTCCCCAGCTGAGAGTTGCCTTGGGATTTTAGTCTGGGCTCCAGGGTCTTTCCCAGACCCACTGGCATACCTCATTGTTTGACAGTTGGTACCAAGGCTGTTTGCCGTAAGTGAAGATCTCCCACAACACAACCCCCAGGCTCCAGACGTCGCTCTCTGTGGTGAACTTCCTATACATGATGCTCTCTGGAGGCATCCAGCGAATGGGCAGCATCGTGTGTCCACCGACCTGGCAGGAAAGGAACAAAGGGAGCATCAGTCACTCTGGAACCAGGTGTGAAAGAGAGCTCTGTGTGTGTGTGGGGGGTGTTTTTTTCTTTCTTTATTGTGCTTATTTATTCCTTTTAATTGTTTACAAACACAAGGAATGTATGACTTTTTTTCATCATCTCAAGCAACAGAGACAGAAGCCAAAGAGTGATCCAAACAATTATTTGCAATTCTCATTCTCAAACCAGGAGCAGAGACTATGCTTACACTGATGTTCATCTTGTATAAACACGCAGACACACACACACACACACACACACACACACGCACACCCCTCCAGGTAGGAGGATTGCTCAGTGTTCTAATTAGCAAGGGAATTTTGGTCAGAATAATGAGTAAGGGGTGGTTCCAGAACCCAAATAACCTGCGCTGTCTCTCCTACTTGGCCAAGGCCAGGGCTTCTCTCTGCTTTCAGGTATGATGTGTGTGAAGTGCTGGCTAAAACACCTGCACTTCCAGCAGTAGCCAAGATGATATGAAAATGCTAATAGGCTTCTGTGAGGGAATCAGGCAACCCTGACGGCTATAACCTGAACATGAAGTAAAAAATCACAGACAAGTCACTTTTGACAAACTCATTCTCCTTGCCTGTGCTGTTGCTATTGCCAGCTGATACCTCACCCTCAGCATTTTCATTAAAATTGCCATTTAAAAAAAATGCATTTATTAATTGTTGTAAATAACTAAGTAGTAGGAAAGAGTCCTGAGTTTGGCATCCAAAGACCTGAGTTCCTTGTGTTCATAAGCAGCCTGCACCTCAGTTGCTTTATCTATAAAATGAGAACAAACTTCCATCTTGGCCACTGCTGGAAAGCACTGTATAGTTTACAAAACCTCTCTCCATAGCTCCATCTAATTTCATGAATATAGCAAGAAGGACTCAGGATTCATGGTGGCATCTCTCGTCTACAGATGATGAAACTTCTCCCAGGTGTTATGAGACCTTGTCTAAGGTCACACTTCTGACACATGGTATAGATAGAACTGTGGTCTACATGTTGCTACAGAACATTTTCATCCATTAGGAAGTGGTCCAAAATATGGCATTGCTCTGCTTGACTACTATGCACATGCAAGGATGGGACAAAACCAGAAGAAAAAATACTTCCTGCCCTTGTGGACTTTATTCTTATCTTGCCTATCTTAGGGTTTTCCCTGAAAATGAAGAGCTCATATGTTACCCATCCCACCAGGCTGTACAGGAACAACTGGTTCAATTGTGCCTTTCTTCATCCACGTTCGTTCTCGTTAGAAGAAATAGACCCCACGGGTCAAAGTCATCTATAGAAGTGGAGGCACAATAAAGACTGCAGCTTTGTCTTCTGGTGCTGAATTGTATTATTTAAGCACCTGTGAAAAGAAAGTTTCTTGGACAACAAGTGGAAGTATCTGCTAATCTTTCTGACAAAAAGCTTGGAACTTAAATTAAGAGAGGCATTGTTCTTTTGGAAGGAATGAATTGCTTCATCCACAGACTCTTTCTGCAAGAGCTATTTACACATGTGACAACTTGAATTTTACGGAAATTCTAAAAGATAAAAGGCTTAAAAAACGACAGGCCTCTCTACCGGGTAGAGAGGGTTTCAGTGCAAAGTTAGTGTGGTACTAGGTTTTTAGTGAAAAATATACTATTACTTCTTTCACGGAAATATTGAAATTAGGATCCAGACGTGTGATCAATGTAGAGTTGGTGTGCGATGGTAACAGAGAACTGTTGATCTGTGGCAGTAATACGAGGACTAGCTAGGGCGTGGTGACCCAATATGGATACCAGTTCTTTAAGAGTGTTAAGAGCTAGCTCTCCCCGCAAAAGTTCCTGGGTCAAGTGTACCAAATATACTGTGATATGCTGCCCTCTTTACTTCAGGAAATTTAAAATGCACAGAGCTGCATTAAAGTATCTGAGGAGTTCAACAGGAAAGAACGCATTTAACTTTAACCTAGTGAATTAAACCAATAAGAATATGTGTTTGTGGGAGAGGGTAACTACTCACATAGGTCTCCTAGAACCAGACATTTAAAGATGAGATTTGAGATTTGTTAATTTAGAGAGAGAACGGGCTTTCTGTATCTACCTGGGCCTGCCATACTGGACAGTACACTGCTTGACACTAATTCCTGACACTGAAAACTCTGGGCTCCAACAGCACACAGCAATCTCCTAGTCGGGTAGGCTTGGCTAACTGCCAAACCTCTCTGTGTTCTGGCCTCTCCAGCTATAAATTGTGGGTGACAATATATACCTCCCCAGACCGTCACAAGCTAAATACCTAAGCAGCTATTTGTGGAAATGCTTTATAAATCTTAATGCACTAAAGGCTTTCAGGGTGTTGGCTCCTTCTATGAAGCCTTGACTCTCATTTCCTCGGTAGGCAGCAGTCATTCTGCAGTCCCTAAGGAGAAGAACCAACAAAACAACTGTCCCTGTTCCTCATCCAGCGGTGAAGTGGTTCCTTTGACTATAGCTCCCAGTCTATCAGGTGCTCTGCCTGTGTTGCTAATGGCTAGTGAAAAGGCTCCTGTTTCTTCTAAACGAGAGAGAAAAAAGATTCACATTTTGACTTACATGTTTCCCCATCTAGTCATTTATTTTCTGTTACAGTCTCTTTGGGACAGATTTTTCACTTTAACTCTCCCAGGAACCTCTCTGGGGATTTCATACATGCTATTATGAAGAATGCTCTCCTTGTGCAGAAGCCAAATGGGTGAACAGTGGGACAATGTAATGAAAGTTCAGGCAGGGTTCAATAGTTTTCTCAACTCGTTCACAACGTTTCTGAACATTTCTTCAGCAGCCCTTTCCTGAGGATTTTGGAGCATGTCGCAAGAGTAGACGCCCCCAAAATGACTCACTGTTGTTTCAAATTATTGTCGTAATTTTGTCATAGACTCTGATGGCTTTTGAGCCACACAAAACAGACACTGTATGGCAACAAGCACAAGGAGACATTTGTTTTGCATTGTGCTACTTGGCAACCTGCCCTCATACCCTTGCTAAATATTTGTGAGATGGAATGTGATCCCAAGCATGACACTGGAAGCTGGAATTTCTGCCCTTCACTGCACAGTTTTCCGTGGTGCCTCAGGGGTTCTCTGGTGATCAAGTTGGGGCAGGTGCCTGCTCTTTACGAAACTAGCCAGACTGTACTGAGGCAAGATGGGAAATCTAGTCAGCTGGGAGCTCGTTTGGACTTGCAGTTTTTATTTTCTTCAACTTTAGAGAATTATAGTTCCTGCTTTGCTATTAATCACCTTCGCCCAGTTCCCACAGGTCTGGCTTATCTCCTTATTGGTCACATGTGAAAGGTTAGGGTAGCTCTTGGTTACTTCTAGCACAAAACACTGGTTCTGTAATAATCCACTACTACACTGCCAACATAATCATCCACCATTATACAGTATCTCACATTTTACAAAGAATTTCCTCCCAGTTATCTCACTTGCACCCAAAGTCCACCCTCCAGAGTAGACATTTCCTTGCTTAGATATTGTAAATACTGTCTCTAAAGGCACATACAAAGTCCTTGCCCACTGGACATCTTATATTCATTCCAAGGGGTCACTCTATGTTTCTGTTTTTTCTAGTCATTAATACATGCTCTGGATTCAGCCAAGTTGTGGCTCCTCACCTAGAGAGAACTAAGCTTTTTTAGAAGTTTGATCTCTTCTCCTTTTTCCCTATAATCCAAAGAGCACCTAAAGGCAGGCTCAAGTTCTACCATTTCAAGGATATCTCGATGCTCCAACTCAGATATTGTTTTAGTATCCTTAATATAGCTCTGGGAAGTCCACAGACACTCCCTTCTGCTCATGCATCGTATGTCTCAAGAAGGGCAGCAGCCCCTCTGGTAGGTACTGAGGGGTTGGTTGGTAAGCAAACCACATCTTCAGGTGGGTTTCTTGTGAGTGCTGCTATGTAGTGAGGAAGCCTCGTGTGTTCTTTCAAAAAGATTAGTCTTTACTACCTTCCTATCCATCCTGTCATCACTCAACTAAACTCTTGATTACATTAGAAGGACAGAAGCAGTCTCACCTATTTGATACTACAAATAAAGAACTGTTTAATAAAATTTATAGCCCCTTAAAACTGAACCCAGGCTCTGAAGCATATAAGGGCTCTCTAAGTTGCACGAAAACCATTTTGCTGTCCCTGCAGTGGACAGGGTAATATAGGAATGAAATTTAGGAAGACTTCTAGAGTCTCATTCCTGCTTAAGCTTGAGGAAAAAGGAGAGAATCTGCAAAAGGAAGGAAAAGCACAAAAAAGGAAAAAAAAAGGATTTGACTATTAGGGCTGCTAATCATGCAAGTTGGTTAAATCAGCAAAACTAATCCAAACAATGTCTGAGGCTCAAGGACAAAAGAAACTCCATAGTGACTAAAATAATTAAGTTGAAAAAAAATAACAGATTCTGTTTCTAAAACATATTTAGGAAGAACTGTTCTTTTAACTCTAATTATTTTCATGACACCTTATAATTTTGATAGTGATATGTATATGTATAGGATGATCTGGTTAAGAAACAAAAATAACACCTTTGTTTTAGTTAAAATACTCAGGCTTGAGTATTCTTTAAGTCTCCCTGTTTGAAAAGTATTTCAAGAAATTAAATCTTGAGGAAAACACTAAAAGGCCCTTGGTGAAACTGCCTGGAATTAGAATCAATAATTACATTACTTTTAGATCAAAGTGGACACATCTAATCCATGCAACTACAAAATTTATTTTTTACCCAAGCAATTCAAAGCACACAGTCATAAGTTAGAAAGTGTGGAACTTCCCTTATGGCTTAAAATATACAATTTCTTTGTCTGCCTTGGAAAACTATGCTATGAGGAAAGCAAGAAACTTGCTGAGCAAGTGTAAATATGAATCGATGACCAACAGTGTAGAAGACAGCTCTCCATCTCACATTATTCTTTCTCCCAGCCTGGGGTTGTTTCTCATGCTTGTTTGTT